AAGATGAAGATGAAGATGAAGATGAAGATGAAGATGAAGATGAAGATAAGGATAAAAATCATAACCCCTTAACTTTAACTCATCTTAACTTAAAAACTTACTCCACCTGAGCTCACCGCACATTAATTCACCATACTTTAACTCCCCACACCTAAATTCACCACACCTAAATCCACCACCCTTAATTCACCACACCTCAACTTTCTCACCACACCTTAACTCACCTCAACTCACCACACCAAAATTCACCACACCTTAATTCACCACACCTCAACTTTCTCACCATAACTTAACTCACCACACCTGAATCCACCACACCTAAATTCACCACACCGTAACTCCTACACCCAATTCCACCACACCGCAGCTCACCACACCCAATTTCACCACATGACATGATATCACTTGATGTGGCATCAAAGGCAACATCATTTGGCATAAAAAGAACCAAAATAAATAAGATTTAGATAGAGGTGAAAAAAGGGATAAAAAGGAAATACAACTGAAGAGTGTGCGATGTTATATTGTGGTGTGTTATGCTTCATATGTTATGTTATTTATTCTTATGTTAAGGTTATGTTATGTTATGCCAAGTACTAAGCTAAACTCCCCTCCACTTAACTCATTCCAACTAATGTTATTTTAGCTCATTCAACTTACATAAACTATCCTTAATTTTATCGGTTGAATTTCAACCGCTGGGCGAACACTAGTTTATGTAAACGCGCAAGTATCATTCGATTGGGAACCATTTTCTCCTAGATTTCTAAATCCAATTGAACTATTGTAACTTTGTCTTTAGTATTAAGGTAAGGTAAAATTTATTTGAAAATTTTGAAGAATTTTTTTTTAATTTTTCACAAAGAATGGAGCTTTGCTTTTACGAGTTGAGTTTCGCTATAAACTGTCCTCTCTACATACCTATTTGCATAAAATGATAGCCGTTTTCGTTGTTCGGAATAAACTCAAAAAACACTGACTACAGTTCCGTCAGATTGTCGGAGGTTATCTTAAATACATATATGGATCAATTACATGCTACTATAAAACTCGCTAGGTGGTGCTGCAGTAGAGTTATTTATAAAAATCGTATCGATTTCGTTTAAATTTTAAATGTGAGCTATGTACCTGTATATTGAAAAATTCTTTTGATAAAAATTTACCCGATTAGTGCCGCCGGAGTTAAGGTTGAAATTCATAACACGTATTCATTTTATGGTAAGCAATAGTTTTGCAGAAAATGAACCCAATGGATGGCGTTGCAGCTGAAATGTATAGAAACCCCGTGTGGTTGGTCTACTTTGGCCCTATGTTTAAGTTATACGAATTTAGTTTTCAGATGTCTAAATGAAGGATCGGGTTAAGTTTTTCTGACGCCCTCATGCACGATCATGCGGTCTTGCATCTACCCAGAAATCAGTTCAGAAATTTTACCACGAATTGTAAAAGTGGCGAATTAAAAAGGAAGGATCACCGTGCTTCAGTTGAAAGATACTTAAGAGATCACACGGCTCATTTAGCAATGTACCGGAAAACTTTTCATCCTGTGGGACAGCAAGGATTCTTGGCCCTCCTATAACAGAAAACGCACTTCTGTGCTCTTGAGTTTCCCTATAAGAACTGTTATTGGCATACGCATCGCACCAATGTTGTAGTTGCAAGATCATACAAAAAGATTACGCATGCTTGGCAGAGATCACACAGGTGGAAATAAGACCATCGGTAAAGCTCATGACAGCGAAAACGATTGGTATTCCATATGGTATCACAGCGTTACTATTATTGGCCTATGTGTGAGGAGGATACTGCGCCTTAGTGGTTTCAACTTAAATTAAAAATTTTGACTGTACAGACTAATTTTGTTTTTCAACGCTCTTTTGCATTGGCCAACGCAAAAGCTCTTATTAGGCGCCGCGAAGTAAGCGGGCATTGGCTAGTATGCAATAAAAATCTATTGAATTTTTTTTTCTTAGTTGTGAATTTTTTTAAGAAGGTGTGCGATCTGTAGCGTATAGTGTTGTTGTTTTACTGTGCTTTTTACAAAAGCCATATTTATTTTTAATGGGGCTTGAATGGTAATGACGTCCAGGAGTACCAACGCTTACTATGCAAAAAAGAGTAATCTGACGATACGGCTCTCCTTTGTTAGACGATTTCTTATATTAAGTTCAGACAGAAATTGAATTGAGTAAATTAAGCTTTTAATTGAGCTACCACTTTTTGGTGTTCACACAGTCAGCTGCTCGATTAGCTACAGTGATGGACAAATTGGTACAATCGTACCTTTATTTAGTTTGAAAGTGCAATTTAGGTACATTTTTTAGTTCTTTTTATTCACATTTCAACGCATTTTCTGATGGGGGTAACTCGCTTAATAGTCTCTATCCTTTGTGAAGGGGCATAAATAGCGCCCCCCTGCCCCTACCTGGCTACGCCCATGAATACATGTATGCTTGTGAAAAGAATATGATAAAAAAAAATTTTAAACATTTTTAAGCAAAATTATGTCAACGCCATCAAAATAGAAAACTTTGTACTTTATGCTGCATTAAAGTTGCGTCTAAGAATTTTACGATCGCATATAAAGTTATTTTTAAAGACGTAAAAGTAACTCAAAAACCACAAAGCAGATGCCAAAATTTATGTTGTCGTAGTACCTAAAATGCATTTGAGCTCAAGTAGCTTTGATATACACGTACATATGTGTGTGTTTTTACTAATAAAATTTTCACGCATCTATTTTCAGACGCTACGACTTAACAAAACATGGCAACACAAACAAATGCGAACACTTTTTCAACTAAACTAAATCGAAATGTGTTGACTATGCCGAAATGGGTGGTGCGTATATTTTCAGGCATAATATTTTTAAAACTTGCTATAAAAATTACAAAAATTTGCTTTAATAACTGTGCCTACATAGTACTTACCTACATATATTAAACTAACTAACTACATTACAGACGGAAACACACGATCGTGTCGGACCGAAACCACCACCGCCACCAACTCCTTCGACGCCGGATAGCGCCGCTAGAGCACCAATTCTACCACCAAAAACGAAACAACTACCCGAGCCAGATTATGAAGTCATCGAATTCTCTGGGCAGCAATATTCGAATGAAGTGCTCAAGGCAGGCAGCAGATCGAAAACGCCGAGTACACCAGGTATATGTCCGCCGGTGCACAATAGGTCAAATAGTCCCTTTTTCTGCACGAAAGTCAAATTTCGAAAATTGAATAATAAACAAATTTTTGTTTTTATACAGCATGATAGGCGGCTTTAGAAAATATAGTGCCGAAAATGTAAATAGGGAAGTGATATTTTAGCATTCTTTGGCTATTTACCATTCGGTTATTTAATGTTTATTATTTTTTTATGAAAGTGTAGCTCGTTATCTAACAAAAATAATGTAACTTAAAATTTCAAACTTTGTACGAGATTTATAAAAATTTGTATAGCCTACTAAAGTTTAGCGTGATGAAGTGAAAGGTTGAAGTAGCTGGGACTTACCGTTGATTTTCGGCAATTTTTCTTTGTTTGCTGGCGGAGATGTGTGTAATCCTTTCGAAAAAAATAAAAAATTATACATTATTTAATATTTATATTATTTAATATTTGCTATTTTTATGAAAGTGTAGCTCGTTATCCAATAAAAACCGTGAAAGTAAAAATTTAAAATTTTGTAAAAATATTAGCAAATTCGATGAAATTTCATCAAAATTTTCAGCTTTTTAATTATATTTCTCAGAAACATTCTGATTGTGCACTTTTGTTGGCCATTTAATTTTTATAAGACAAAACGCAAATTGTTGGCCATATTTTCTTTGCACACTGCAAAAAATTTAAAAAGATCCGATTAGAAAATTCAAAACTTTGATCAATATTTCGAATTCCTCGAATTTTTATAAATGTTCTACAGAATTTGACAGTTTTTTAGATAGTAAGCTATATTTTCATAAAAAAAATAATAAACAATTTTTTAAACCAATAAAATTAGCCAAAACTTGCTAAAATGTCTCTTCGCTATTTTCATTCTCGCCGCCGCATGTGTAAGTTTGCATAAGAGAATGATTTTAAAGCCCACTTTAAAATCGCGCCAGAAAAAGTGATTATTTGACCTACTGTGCGCTGTAGTGAAATTATAACTAAAAGAAACATCTAATATCTATTTTTTGTATTCACAGATGCAAAGCTCAAATGCACGCTATGTGGCTCGCACAACCCTTGGGTCACGTGCGAGGAGTGCGCACAGCAAATCTTCTGCGCCTCATGCGATGATATGTTTCACAAGCATCCAAAACGGCGTGCGCATGTGCGAAAGGTTGGTGAAGAGCGCAAAAATCTATTAAAAACACTTCTTTTCAGTTCCCTTTAATTTAATTTATTTTTTTTCTACGCAACTCAGTCCGTTGAGCAGACACGTCCACCCCTGCCGCCGAAAATCTTGCCCGGGCAGAATGGACCCGCACCACCGGTGGCGCCACCCAGACGCAAAGGACGCGGCTTCACACCACTGCTGCAGCGCAAGGAACAGGTACGCTTCTGCACGATTTCGTAAGCGATATTGGTACCAAGTCATTTGGCGCATGACAAAAAAAAAAATAATAATAATGAAATTAAAAAAATCGATATCCAATATTTTGTACAAGCTGCCAAGCGACGTACGCGCGTGTTCCAAAACACATTGCGCTTTGAACAAAATTCAAAGTTACTGCCTTTAGATAAACGCTGAAAATAGCTTTCCCTAATTTGGCATAGCTTTTGTTGCATTTTAAGCTAAAAAATTTATATATACACCCGTACCCATGTGTAGTACTACTCTCGATTTTTTGGCGCTTAAGTTTTACCAAGCCACTAACACGATTGTCAAACTTTGCGTAAAAATCGCATTGGAAAAGTTTTTTCAATAAAAACAAAAAAAAAAAACTAAAATATCAATTTTTAACACAAACAAAGCTCAAATTATTCAACTGTTCTCATATTTCCTCAAAACTTACATATTTACAAATGCTGAGTTTTGGAAACAAGCCACCAAAACCACAACAACAGCAACAAGACCACCCAACTGTTTTAAGTGTTCTTTGCACAATTTGCCACTCACTTCCTACTTAGGTCAACACGAATACGCTACTAATACCAGCCTCACCGACACCCTCTCTGAAGAGCACATCCTGGCAAGATCGCGTCAGTTCGCTCAAGAGCGGACTGAATCTGATGAATCGTCCATTGCCGGACACACCGAAGACGCCAACCAGTGAGCACACCTCATCGCGTTCCGTCACACCCAAATCGGTTTTCGACAGCATACAACGGCCACCGTCTGTGACCTTAGAGAAAATCAAGAACAAGGCTAGCGCCACACTGGATAGAATGACGCTACTGCAGCAACGCTATCGCCAGCACAAAGAGGAAAGTCTGAAGGGCAACAGTGAACGTGGCGGTTCTGTAACAGATCAGGTAATTTTTTCAACATACTCGTACTTTAAGCCGCCATCAGTTCATAAAGTAAAGCAGTGCTCATTGCAAGTTGCCATGTTCTGTTAAACGTCATCATCATCGTCCACATGTTCGTGACGTGCGCATAAAATCCTCCTAATATAGTATGTTGGTTTTTGTTTTTTCGTTTTTTTTTTTTTGTTTATGTTCGCTGTTCGTATGTACATTCTACTCGTTTTGTCCCACTGTGTCACCACTACCGCCCGCCACCACTTTTGTCAAACAATCAAACAATCAATCAACCAGAACCTCTCATTCGATCAATGGTCAAACATCTCACCGTCGCCATCACATTTTCGCTCAGGCAGTATGTCGTCCGGGATCAATTCATCTCATTTTGACCTCACGGATGATACGAATTTTCAAAATATGTTTAATCAACGGCAGATGCATTCGTCTCACTTACAACAGCAACAACAGCAACGTCACGTTAATGGTCAATTGGGTACACGCGGTATGAGTACTTCGGTGTTCAATTTGAATCATATAAATCGCGGACGCGGACCTGAACCACTGCCCGCATGGATGAACAATCCTATGCAACAGGTGAGTGAAAAGTGAGAATTCATGAATTGTTAGAAGGATTTAGGGACCGACAACTAAATCGCGAACAAACTTACTGAGCTGTTTCGCTTCTAGGCGGGCACAGATCAGATTTTATAATTTTTTTTTTTATACAAACTCTAAACATAGGAGGCAAATGAGCGTTCTGGGCAATCACAACAGTCCAGCCGATTTCTGGTACTAAAACTGTATCGTCTATGTCAGAGATCTTAAATAGATAAGACTTCTTTAGGTTTTAGTGGCTGCCTTCATTCATACCTCTGATAGGGGTATATTTGAAACCAAATAGTTTCGTTGTGTTACCGGTTGTAACTTGACTCCGACCATCTCACTAGAGATAGAAGCAATGCTTTATATAGTTTGTCTTATAAACGCCTGAAAAACATATCGAGTTTGGGTGCGAGTTTGGGACGTCATCCTATGGGTCTAAGCACGTTATTTACTCCATTGGTGGTTTCTGCCTGCGGGTATTGCCGGAATTGCGTCTATTACTACTCGCCACATTGAGGGCAACTGGTATCAGACTAGATACAGTCATGCCTCTCGCTATATATCTGGCTGATGGTGTAGTTTTAGGCGGTATGTCTGGGTAATGGTCTCGGACTTTCGTCTATACCACTGCGCGCTTGATCCACTGATCCGATATTGCATTTCCACAAATCATCCCAACTCAAAGGTTAAGAAACATACAGCGATAGATGCTTGAGTCGAGGGTACACGGACGCTAGTAATGCGATATTTAGATACCTGTCGACCACCGTCTTCAAGTAGGACGTAGCATGGTATTACCGTGATTTTCAATTTTTCCATTTACCCGCGCGAACAAAATTAGTTTTCTTCAAAATAAATCCGTTCAAAAATCATTCCTCCGCTAGTCCATAGGCACGTTCGTCGGAGGTGATTCAGGTAATCAAAAATTGTCAGAGGACAATAGGCCTCTACCTTTCATCTCCATAAGGGGTTCGGATACACGTCTGGAGTCTGAATCGCCTCTGATTCAGACAGCAATGATCACTGACATCATTAGCGTTTTTTTCTGCAAGGAGTCGAATTGAAATTCCATTCTGGCTTCGTTCCAGGGAATGGAGGATTTTTAAGTGGCAACTCAAGGAGAAAGGCTGTTAAAGTCGCCCGAGGGTATAGACGACCACTGAGAAGTTAAAACGAGTTCGCTTTGAAGAGCAATCACGTACGAAGCAAATACCTAATTGCAAGCAATAAATAGGCTAAAGTATTAACAGCTAGTATACCATCTGACTGATGAGACCTTTAAGATGTTAGGACGGACAATTAGACACCAATTAGAATCCAAGCTAAGTCTAAATTATCTAACTATTAGATAATACGAGAGCTCGCAGTCTTATTCCTTAATAAAACCTTACTTCATTACTCTACAGGCTCAATCGATGGCTCATCTAAATTGCGCAACATGCGCTAGTCCACAAGCGAATGCCTGGCACGCGCATAACCAACGTCCCATGCACATGAACGTTCAGCCCGGCGGCGATTGGGGTAATCAGTTTACCTCGCAACAACAACTCAATCGCTCTAATTTATCACTGAATGTCGGCGCTGGCTATATGCTTCCCCATCATCACGGAGCTGGTGGTATGATGGCGCCACCGCCGGTCTTCATGAACCAAACCGGCATGATGACCGGCATGTACCCATATCCGTATAATTCGGGCATGCCAGTGATGAATCCAGGTAAGATATCTGAAGAATTTCTGGGAATCTTTTTTAATTTATACTACTTCTCTTCGCTAACTAGGTGTTATAGGCATGCCCCCACCGACACGTTCTCGCGCCACATCACGCGCTGTCTCGCCCGCTATGAGTCGCAAGTCGATGCCGGTACGGCGAAAACAACGCACCACCAGCTATGTCGAGGACGAACTCACCGACGACGAAGACTCCGATCAAGATGATCGCCGTTCAATTATTTCAAATCGCTCCGGCATGACAAATACTATGCGCGCACGTCAGCGACGCATTTCGAGTGCCTCGCAGTTGCTAGACGATGAAAGTGAGGCGAATCAGCGAACTACGCGTTCGAAGCTACGTAATGCGCGTGAGCGACGCGATTCGGTTGCAAAGTCCGTGCAAAGTGACTGGTTACCTGGCCGACGGCCCACTGCGAACCACAGCACGAGCGGTAGTCGACAAAATGAGCCAGGTTTCGTCAATACACTTAAGCCAACGCGTATTTATTCGGACTTGGATTCGGAGTCATCCGGCACGCGTGCATTAGTGCAAGCCAAAATACTAGAGAAGATGGATAGGAGCACAAAACGCAGCAGTTCGAAGGAGAAGGTGGCTGAGGCTGCGCGACAGAAGCCCACTAAAGTTTCTACAGAAGTGCAAGCAGGCGGTAGTCGGTCAATTGCGAAGGCGAGTAGTGCAACCGACACGAAAGCTGGCGGCAAGCAGGACACAGATCGAAACGAAACCGAAAATGTATGGTCAAATAAAAATAACGCCTCCGAAGAGGAAGAGGAGAGTGGAAGTGAAGAGACTGAAAGCGAGCAGCAAGACGTGGAGGAGGAAATAGCTACTAAGCCAAACACGCAATTGGAGGAAGCCAGCACAGCGCGTGTGCCGGACGCCGACGAAGCTAACGAAGACGACTTGGGTCCACCACCCTCGACACCTGACCACGAATGGGAATGCGAATTCTGCACGTACGTTAACGAACCGAACGTAAAGATTTGCCTGATCTGCTGCAAAACTCCTAGTCGCACAGCGCGTAAGACTTCTACCACAACTGCACCCACGACGTTTAAGGCAAACGAAGAGCAGCCTGCGAAAGTAAATGCTGAGTCTTCGAACACTACCGAGAGGCAGGCCTTCAGCAAAGATAAACGATCGAGCAGCACAGAACCATCGAAAGACAAACCGAAAGACAAAGTCAAAGAAAAACCAAAAGACATGATTAACAGTACAAGCAGCAGCTCCAGCACAGTCACTGGTACCACAACAGCAGCATCTAAACGAAAAACCGGTGTAACACAAAGCATTATCTCCAACTTGTCAAATGGCATGTCCAAGTTGAAGATCACTTCGTCCGAGAACGAGTCGGATACAACAACACTTGCGAAGAAGAAAGGTAGGAGCAAGAAAATCACGTTTTTGGAAGGAACGAAGATCAATTGAATACAATTTTATGAGTGCTCCTCGTGCTTATGAGTACCCACACGAATTTCACCATAACATATTAATCCCTTTTCATTTTGTATCCTGTGTTAGGCTTAATTTTTGCACAAATCTCAAAATATTTTGTAATACAAACAAATTTTTTTTTTATAACTTTTATAAAAATTCAGAATAAATATACTCACACCATGCTTACGATTATTGTTCCAACCAAAAACTGTTGTTTTCTTCTAACTCCATTGTCTTTTCAAACTACCCCTCAAACAGCACAAACACTCGTTCCCACTCGTTTGTCCAAAACCACCTAACTCAGCGCTCTTTATATAATCTTACAGAATCGGTTGAGGATATATGGGCCGCTTTGGATGATAACATACAGACTACAGCTAATGAGATTATGCGTAAAGCTGAAAAGACAAAGAAGAGCACTAAGGTCTCGACTAGTTGCGGCACTTCACCCGTTCGTGAGTTGCCCAAAGTGAAAGACTCGCAAAAGTCACAAAGAAAAGTTAAGGAAACGGGCACATCACCGCCTCCGCAAAGCATTTCCACTCAAGTAGGCTTCTTGTTTGATTTTCTTAGTTGGTTAAAAATGTATTTGTTGTTTTTATTTAGACTTACGATACGTTACCAATACGACAGCCAGAAGTGAATGTCACAGAACCAACGACAACAACGGGCGGTGGTATATTTTATAGCGAAAATTCTCAGGTTTGTAGAGTTTGAGAAAACTATTTTGAAAAAAAAAAACAAATATGTTCGCCAGATATTAGTAGAAGATACTAGAAAGCGTAACATGGACAAAAAACGCTAGCTCAAGCACCCACCATAAAGTGAAAAATGAAAAAAAAAATTAGGGCTCATTTTCATTAATGGCTCCAATATTAAAAGTTTAGAAATGATAGAGAAAAATTTTATAATCTTTCGGGTGTCTGCGCTGCAAATAATTCTAACACTCGTTACAGCTCCTAAGCTGAATTTCGCCTTTCGTCTTTATTGAATTTTATCATGAAAATTTGAACAGTTTCGCATATATCTTCGGTCTTTGATCTGATGATTTGGCTAGAACTAGGATTTCGTTCTATCGACGCGAGGTTACTACAGCCTTTACGAATCTTTGGATTTAAAAGGAGCTAATGAGAACAGTTGCAATTACCGGAACGAGTGCAATGAGACCCTGCCCAACACTCCCACGACAGCCGGTTCTACGTACCAGAATGACTGGGTTTTCTTGACCGCAGGCAAGTCTACTTCTTCTGCGTTTGGCAGAGACGACTTCATATGAACTCCACTTCGGTTAGGCGCAACACCTATAACGCATGGAGTGACCTAAGAGCCTGGCCAAGCCTTAGGCCACATAGGGAGTGGACCATAGATTTTTTGTCTCCTTGTTGCTCAAGACATACGGCTTAATCCGCCCACACCACCACCAGCTCAAGCAACATGCGGGTGTGAACCAGCACCAAAAAAGCCTGCGCTGCTCCAAGAAGCTCACAGGAGCAACACCTAAACTCACCACAAGCTGCGCTACTATGAGGTTAAGACAGTAATGTAGTAGGTGACTTAAACATACTTCTGCAGACCCCCGAACCAATGACAATTTTAACAAAGCTGATTGGAACGGTTTCACGGAAGTTACTTACAGCACCTTCACCGCCAGCTCACTTCATTCCATCCGGATGCATCGGACGCTCCCGCAGAAGCAGCTGTTGTTTGTGAATGAAGGTGATCACCTACGCTAGGTCAATCCCAGGAATGCCCTCCTAACGTACCTTACTAGGCAACTAGGTATGAATAAGGTCTGTGAAACCGTGAGGTCCCTGTCCAATCCGATGAGACGTAACGACAGAGTGGAAAGGCCAATCGTTACCAGAAGGCTGTACAAACTGCCGAAAAATAGTACACCCCTTGCTTTCACAAGCCATGAAGTCCATGTGGAAAACGGGAAGGCGAAAGTATCCAAACCCATTGACTACTCTCATCATTCCTGACCTGTGGAAATTGGGGAGAGTCGTCCCGTTACTGAAACCTGAGAAGCCAGGGAACAAAGGGGAGTCTTATCGGCCGAAAACACTCCTCTCACCCGTCGCAAAGACACTAGATGCCTTGCTACTTGTGTACGTCACAGACCACAGCACTTAACGCAATAAAACCTCAGGTAACCCATGGCCTTAACAGCAACCGCCCCTGTGAGAGAACCGTCCTAGGAGCGTTGAGCTTGTCAAAGGCGTCAGTAACCTTTTGTCAAATACCACAACCTTGGACAATTAAACAAGGCTACCCTCTACCCCACTTGGACGAAGGCTTCAGCTAGGCATTCATGTCGATGGCACACCAATTCCAACGGTGACCAACCCGCAAATCTTAGGGTTATCTTGATAGCCTCCTCTCCTACTCCGCACACACAACCGCGTACAGAGCCGCAACAATGTCCTCAAGTCGTACGCCGACAGCAGCTGGGGCAATTTGCACGCTGAGCTATGCTACAACTGTGTGGTCGCCAGGGAATAGTCGGGCGCAGTGAACGAAGCTTCAAAATTGCCTGAACGCCGCGCCACAGATCCTTGCTTTAGGACGTGCTCCGGACTTACATCGACCAGCAACTGAAACCGATGGCGTATCGACTAGTTATCAACGGTATTCATACAGAGACTCTCGACCTATGAATGCCATGATCTGAGCCCAATCTCCACACATTTCAGACACCGAGCTGCAACTACCACGAGAGACCCGTGTCACTCTGGCCACAGGGTGGTAACATATACTGTACTTCTCAGCACAGACTGCAGGTGCCTATTTCTAATTAAAAGGATCTAAGCTCAGCAAAAATCGCTCGGTTCCCCTCTGTGCTAAAATAAAATTCAACTTCATTAAAATAGACAGACCGAACCTACCCAGGTGAACCCCGATTTATACAGAGCATAGAGCAGTGAGCTCTTAGGGACACAATTCTTAGGGGGGAATTGAACTAAAGAACTGAGAAATATACTTAGAGTCAATTAACTGTCTATGAATATATAGTTTTCGGACCTCCGCAAAAATTTTCTCAGAAGTAAATCTTCCGTAAATTAGTATCAAACTTGCATTCGTATCGAAAGGACTTCGAGTGGGATGAATTCTTAATGTGATTAGTAAAATATATGGATATATGCAAATTTTTTTCGTTGCAGTTTCAACGAGATGCTCCCTCACCGCTGAGCGTATACTCTCCAGACATGCCACATTACGAGCCGAGACACAAAGAACCCGAAACCGAGCTATACATCTTATTGAAAGTATGCAATTAAACCCTGAGTTATCTACTCAAAAAGGCAACATTCCAATTTCTCATTCCATTTTCAGGAAGCTGAACTCTATAAATTCACACCTGAAGAGTTGCATGCCGCACTCAAATACTGCGGCACTTCAATACATCCTATACAATGGTTACACGAAAACTGGCACAAACTCATACAGACCGTACAAAGTCTGTCGACAAAGTATGGGCAGGAGCGCGTAGAAAATATTATCGGCACAATCTCACAGACCGAAGCGCGTGAAGCATTGCGTCAACATGGCGGCAATATATGGCAAGCTGTATCGGAATGCATTGAACAACGGCAACGTAAATATCGTGAGATCTCTCGTAAGGGAAACTTTTCGCGCGAAGATATAGTAACTGCACTAACCATACACCAAGGCAATGCCGACTTGGCGCTACTCGACTTGGGACGTACGCAACTTAAACCTTTCTTAATGCGCATACGCGGCTCACCGGCCGGTGTTGAGAATGAAAGTGGCGCCAGTTTTTTCCAAGCAGCCGCAGCTGAGCACACAATTCAACCAGGTTAGAGATGATGGACTCTACCACAGAACCTTACACAGTCATCACTTAACTACACCGACTCTTTCCTTCTGTTGTTTGTTTTCTTTTTTGGTTTTTGATTTTTCTGTTTCTCTCTCTTCATACTGTAGAAATTCATGAGTTTCTCAGCGCAAACGCTTCGGAATGTTTGCAAACACCAAATGCAGCTGGTGCAGCTTTCATAATCGATCATCCCTCGCCGTTTCAAGAACCATCTACTAACGAATACCGCAATCCCATGTACGATGACATCTACCGTCATAGTCCCTACAGTAGAGAGGCGCTATCATCAAGCACATTTCACCTAGACGAACCCGCATTTAATAATCGAAACATGCTAAAAGATCTTGAAAACCTAATTGGTAACATCGAACAAAATCAGGCCACTAAGCAAAGCGATCCAATGCTCAAAACAATGGAAACTATGTTAGGTGAGAGTTTAGGCAAGAAAGAGTTGGAACATGAAAATGATCCCGAAATGATGAGAATACTAATGAAGAGCCCAATAACGACACAACATGCCAAGCGCTCTCTTTCGACTACAAACAGTAGGAGTCAAAGTCAGATGGATGTTAAGAACTTTGTGTGGCAGCATATACAGGAGATAGTACCAAATCTGGTGCAACAGGTGGAGATGGAACTCATGGCCGAGGATGCAATGGAATCAAATGCAGCGAATCAAATAATAATGGAACAAAAAGTGCCGCCGCCAGAGCCGCCACCTATCGACGCTGAAGAGTTTATTTTGGAAGAGGTTATAGGGCCAAATATAAAAGAGGGTACTATACGAGAACTGGTGCCACCAGCGTTCGTTTATGCGGCAGAAATAGCGAACTTCCGCATGGAATTCGATCGTGCGCTCGATAGGGAGCATGAAGAGGAATTCGATTTCGATTCAGTTGATGAAGCGGAAAGGAAGATATACAAAATGTATATGGCACCAGAAGAAGGGAAAATATTAAGTGTAGAACAGGAGGGTGCTGGGTCAAATGAGACTACAATCGGGAGTGCAGACGAGATAGAACAAGCAAACGAGGAGCGTTCGAAAGGCAGAGTATCCCAAGAGGTACAATGGAGCCAAACGCCAGAAGATATTGAAGAAACAAGACTCTACACCGCAGTTGAAGTTCAAAATTCAAGCGAACTAGCTGAACCTTCAAATGGACATGTAGACGAAGCAAGCCAAAGCACAAAAATTGCAACCACTGAAACACACGAAAAGTCAAGGGAAGCGCAGTCAAAAGAAAACAATGTCGCCAATGAAACACAGACCTCATTTCTAAATGAAAGGTCACAAGAATCATTGGTTAAAGTAGTAACTCCTGCGACAAATGAGAGTACTGAAGCTACGATTTCCAGACCAGAAACTCCAGCCTCCCAACAAGCGGACATGAAGCCCATGGGAAGCTCCACCGATGCCACGAAACTTAAAAGAAATGAAACATCACAGAGGCGCCAGAGAAAAAGTCAGTTACCAAAGAATGTTAGCGACAGAAAGACCCATTCGAAGGATCGCAATGTAGCAAAAAAATTAAATATACAGCAAGAAGCCCAGAGCCAAAGGACTGAAGAAGAAAACGTGCAAGCAAAAGTTGGCAACGAAAGCAAAGTTCTTACTCAGCCTCAAGTGAGTACATTGTCAGAAGATCTACCAGCAGGACACCTAGCTAGCAGTGGTTCTCAAAATGAATCACTAACACCACATACCAGCAACACTAATGAGGAAGCAACAGCAGCAAGGGACAGACAACCGAAGGTGTCACGTATTCCAGTACGTCGGGGCGCAAGTCGACATTCCGGTGAGCGAAGATCTAAAACACCTAGTCAACTAACTGTTGTTGAAACCAAACTAACAAATGAAAATGAAGTCCATGCAACTAACAAAGATCGCCCTACATTAGAGGAAAGGACTAACACTTTAAATCAAACGGATAGACAGGTAGAGGAGAAAATATTAATAGTAAAAAACGTCGCCATCAGCACATCCGTGGCAGTAACAGAAATCCAAGCAGAAGAGAGTTTGGAAAGCTTGGCTGAAAATTTAGAAGCAACGACAAGTGAAGTGTTTGCAAAGCAAAATGCTCCCTTATCAGCTAAGGACGCAATTCAAGAGGAAACACCATCTGAGGCACATGCGACACAGAATAAGTCAGAAGCTTCAATACCCGAAGAATCACGCTCGGCACAAAACACCACTGAAGATATTTCTCAAGAACAGCCATTGAGCGCGGAGACAAAGACGGCGGTACAGGCCAGCAGCAAGTCTCAAAAGCTAGACAGCCAATCCGTAGAAGACCAAACATTACAAGCGGCGGCTGAACCAGCAGTCACGACAGGAAGATACTTTGCATATCAAGATCGACAGTCAGTATTAGAAGCGACGATTACAGCAACATATCTAGCAGATACCGGCTATGAAGCACACGAAAGCCAGGCCGCAGGGGGGCAAACTTTATTAGTGGCATTCGATACAGAACCCAGTGTTGTAGTTAAGGTTCTGCATGCCGAGGAGGAGTCATCTTTGCGGGTATCAAATGATAAGGTCGCTCAAGAGAAAACCAGCACCGAAAGAGAGACTCGTCCAGCAGAAAAGCATTCGATTCTTCCGGAGGAATCTGAAGAAATAATGCAAATGGAGACCATAACTGTTGAAGACATTCAGCAAAGAGTTGAGGAAGCTCAGGCAGTAGTTGACCAATTAGGAAACGACAGTGAAGATGCGGCAAACCAATCTGTGAAAGAACATGCAACTGAAATAATATTCGAGTTAGCGACTGAAACTCAAGCCAGTTCAATAGTACATGCATCCGAATCTCCAACTAATGAAGTATTTCAGGATGCTGCTGAACTATCAGCGGACGAAGAACTTCATAACAACGAACGATCCGAATCTAAGCGTGAAAACGACGACGGTAACGAAACATCCGATGACGAACTATACAGCATTGAGAGTGAACTCTCCAGCAGTGGACAAGCGCGTTCTGTAACTTCCGAGAACGGAGTATTGCTAGTGGTCGGAAATAACCCACCAGCGGACATACAGCAATCTACAAGCGACACAGCAATAAATGCAAATCTCAGCAAGAACACCAGACAGACAGCAGCATTGGAGTTTGTGCTTTCGCCAGACGCCTCAAAGCAGAACCTCTCCGAACTCGTTGAAGATACACAGCGCTTGATTAAGCAAATGAGAGATGAAATAAATATTGAGGATTTCGAATCTTCCGAGGAAGAATACACGGATGAGTACACAGACGAAGATGAATATGATGAGGATGAAGATGAAGATGAAGAAGCTGACGACTGGGATGGTTCACTGGAGGAGAATGAGGCAGAATATGATGAAGATGATTTAACAGAGAATGATATTGACGACGAAGACTACTTTGATGAAGAAGATGAGGAGGGTTTGAGTGAAGCAGATGGCGCAGCTGAAGTAAGGGTTGACGAAGCTGAAGCTCAACAACGTATTGTAGCGGGAAACATAGATGACGAAACCGATATAGTGGCGGTTGTCGACGATAAGCGTGAAAGTGAACACGACAACGATAGTACGAATACCGAAGCTGCTCACAAACAAATTACAATCATTCCCCCATCAAATGATACCAAAGTCATTATAACCCTTGAGACCCCAAGTACAAGCGCTACTGTTCCTAATCATGAATTTGAAAATGCTTCATTATCCAAGCTTGCTACACAAGTTGAGCCTATTTCTAATCCTAATTCTAGTAAGCCCACAACTAATGCTAACCTAATAGAAACTGTAGCTAACGAAATAGAGGTTGAGAATCATATACCCGAACTGCCAGTAGAAACAGTATTGTCGAGCGATAAGAGCAGGGAGACACAAGCAGAGACAGCTGGAAACGAAAACAAATTAGAAACTACCACTCTAGATGAGAGCCAAGCCAACAGTGGTAAAGCGACTGACGTGCCGCGCACACTCGCTGAAGTTGAAAGGACACAAGAAATGGCTGCACCAGTGGATGTAGAAACCACAAATCTCAATGCAATTGCTGCCATTGAAACGAAAAGTAGTCTAACTGGCACAAATGAACACCACGCATTGGAAAGTAAACCCTCAGTAAGCACTAAAACTGGTGCAATAAGCAAGATACCGCAAATTAGAACAGACAACGGTGAGTCTTCCACTTCGAAGGTAGCACGAAGTGTCCCAAACACCGCGCGCACCGACAAACCGATCGTCCAAAAAAGTACACCCGCCATGGATAAGTCTAAGTTGGATAATACGAAGCTCAAGGAGAGCAAAATACCTAAGCAAACAGCGAAAAAGGTGCCTTTGCGTTCGAAATCGTTTTCGGGACCGCCAGGTCCCATCGGCATCTCCTCCGTAAAGAAAATACAACAAGAGTTCCTCAATCGTCAAAAACAGTTGACAAACCGCCTTGAACCACCCAAAAATCCACCAGCCGCAGTACGTAAGAAGTCCATTACCGAGGCTATTACCAAATTTACGCCCAGCACTTCAGCGGCCGCTAGTACCTCCAAAGCTGCTGCCGCAACCAGCATTTTCCGCACCCATCCACGCATACCCAAGAAAAAATATCACGAAACATGCTTTTCAGATGACGACTTTGAGACCACATCGACTGAAGAGGAACCTGAACCGCTGGAAATAAGACAGCGCAAGCAGAGTGTGCCTGTATTTCGAGCCTATCCCAGCGTACAGGAACAAGAAGTGGTGCCAACGGAGGTAAATAGCTTTGCCAGTGAGACCACGTGTATAATGTCCGTCTCCCGTTTACAGGTACTTGTGCAAAAATTCGTGGACGAAAAGCTAGTTGCAAGCATCGGCGAGGCACAAATTGCTGCTGCGCTGATTCACATGCGCTTTCAACAGGACGTTTCACTGTGGGCGGCCAAGGAGTGTAGTGACCTCGATCAAGCCATTTCAATGCTACAGCAGGAATGCGAACTCTGCATGGGCACTTATCCGATGAATCAGATTGTTTCAATGCTCAAATGCACGCATAAATGTTGCAAGCAATGCGCCAAAACATATTTTACAGTGCAGGTGGGTGAAGTAATCGATAGCTGTACGCTTCTTCAAACTCACATGTATGTACACTATTTCTTCTACCGAATTAGATAACCGATCGCAGCATTAACGATTGCACTTGTCCGTTCTGCAAACTGCCCGAACTGCATGGACACAACGAGCATGAGGATGAAAATTTGGAGTATTTCTCAAATTTAGACATCTTTCTCAAGAGTATTTTAGATGCCGAAGTGCATGAGCTATTTCAACGCAAGCTTAGAGATCGCACTCTACTGCAAGACCCCAATTTCAAGTGGTGCATACAGTGCTCATCGGGTTTCTTTGCGCGTCCCAAGCAGAAGCGCCTGATTTGTCCAGACTGCGGTTCTGTGACGTGCGCGCAGTGTCGGAAGGCGGTAAGTGTGAGCGGAAAGGTTTGTAAAAAAGTGTGTGTCTACTCTTATTTCCTTTTTGATATTTCACGCGCAGTGGGAGAAACAACACGAGGGCATAACGTGCGAGCAATTCAAAGAATGGAAGGAGGCAAATGATCCCGAAGTGCAGGCACAAGGCGTGCAAGAGCATTTGGCGCAACACGGCATCGACTGTCCGAAGTGCAAATTCAGATACTCGCTGGCCAGGTTAGTGGAGTGATATGCCGCTACAAAACACAAAAAAAAAAATTGCAAAACCCTTTTCTTTCTTGTCTGCTTTCAGAGGCGGTTGTATGCATTTCACTTGCACTCAATGCAAGTACGAGTTTTGCTATGGTTGTGGCAAACCTTTCATGATGGGCGCCAAATGCACTATTTCCTCCTACTGCGCCAAATTGGGCCTGCATGCGCATCATCCGCGCAATTGTCTCTTCTATTTGCGCGACAAGTTGCCAATACAATTGCAAATGTTGCTTAAACAGAATAATGTGACCTATGATGAAGACCCTAGAGAGCAGCCTAATGCAGACTCAGAGGAAGCATCAACATCATCGCCGAAGATGGCGCGTTGCCCAATTGCCTTGCAAAAGGAGACACCCACTGGACTGGTGGACACAGTATGCAATGGCGAAGTGCCCAATAAGCATGCCGGACTATGTCGGTGAGTGTGCGAAGCAACCCTAATCCTTAGCTCTAATTTATAAGTATACGTGCATGTAGATTTATGTAACTCATACAATTTCTATGTCTGAACTCACCTGAATTTTTTCTATTGATCTTTTCAGCACACATTACGTTGAGTATTTGACCGCAAAGGTGGCTAAGGCTCGCATTGATCCACTGCCCATATTCGATTTGACCGATTGTGTGCAAGAATTGAGGAGACGAGATATAAAACTGCCGGAAAGAGGTCCCTGGGACACAGATGAAATCTATAAAGGAATGTGTGCAGAGGTAAGTAAGATTCATATAATATGTATGTACATTAGACCATACCACCTTACTAGCAAACAAAAAATAGGTTGACGTACACCTCTAAGTCTAAAGTAGTTTTTTTGCAAAGCAAATTCGGGAAAAAAAATATTTTTTCGATAACATTCGGCAATATTTTTCTTTTAAATAGTTCTACAGGAATAATTAAAATACTATCTTAGCGAAAGTTTAATGATGTTTGGTGAGCTTGAGGTGATTTACTGGCAGCAGGGAGGTACGTTGCGGTGGTAGGTACTGAGGTCTGGTGGGTAAGTACTAGAACGGGATACTCGAGATCAATGAAATTTGGAACAAAAAAATTTTCTTCTCGACAAGAACATCGCTTTACCGTACTTTAAAACCCGGCTACAAATGAAAATGATATGACGAAAAATTAAAAAAAGGACCCTTCGTTCGGCTAAAAAAAAAATTGCCTTGCAAAAGTACTTCAGACTCGGGGATGTATTGCGACAGTTTTTCCGATACAGGCTAATGTGCATATGTATGTATATTGCAATGAACTTATTTAAAATAGTAATCAATGTTTGTAAGGGAATTCGTATCCCTAATTTAAGTCTGCGAAGGAAAATTTGTTTAAGTATTCAAATTCAAAGCTTTAAAATAATAGCAGTTGATATCATCAGAAAGATCATCTAAACTTGCCACTAGCAGTTATTCTAAGAAATCACCATTATAGGCATCTAGATTGTATAACCTGAGGAAAGAGTGACTCTTCAGCAAGGTATATACAGAGCTGGGTAAATGCAATTACATTACAATTACAATTACATTCCTCAGTAATTGTAATTAGGATTCAATTCCTTTAGTTCACAGCAAAGGAATCGATTACTTTATCAATTCCTTGAAGTAATTTCAAATGGAATTGTTTTTTTCTTTAATTCCATTACAAGGAATTTCATATTGTAATTGGAATAAATTACGTGCTAGTAATGTAATTTCTTTTATATCAATTCCTTTGAAAGGAATTGAAAATGTAATTTTTTCCAATTCCTTTGAAAGGAACTGAAAATGTAATTGATTTTTTTCCGTTTTTTTCTGTTCGCAAACACTAACATATGTGTAAGCGCCAATCTATTATTATTATTATAGAAAGGGGACGTGGCACCTCCCATACAAACCGAGTTTTTCAAACTGCATATATTTGTTGTAGAGGACTAGAACTGGGTACGGTGATATATGAATATATAAAACCAATTCCATACTCATGGAGAAAAGTTGTGTGGTTGGAGAATGGGGCGTGGCACCTCCCATATAAATCCAACTTTTCATATTGCATATTTCTGGAAGTGTTCATGCTAGACTGTAAACCTTTTTAAAACTCTTTAGTTTGACACCCACTTGCCAACATTTCATTTATTTTATCAATTTAACTGAGTTACAATTTCCAAATAGGTGGCAGCCCCCCTCAAAAATATTTCCAACTGTTATCTTTCTTAAACCTCTTTAATTTGATACCCATATTGGAATATTTTATTTATTTTATCAATGTAATTTAGGTAAATTTTCAAACAGATGGCAACCCTCCTCAAACATATTTTCGGCAGTAAGCCTTCTTAAAACTCTTTAGTTTGACACCCACATGGCAATATTTCATTTATTTTATCAATTTGACTGAGTTTAAATTTTCAAATAGCTGGCAACCCTCGTCAAAAATACTTCCAGCAGTTAACTTTCTTAAACCTCTTTAACTTGATACCCATATTGTAAAAATTCATTAATTTTATCAATATAATTGGGTTTAAAAATTTTAAAATAGGTGGCAACCCTCAAAATTTATGCGAAACCATTGGTTCTGGTAAAAAATATTATTCAAATCGGTTCAGGCGTTCTTGGGTTTTGATGACCGTGACATACGAACACAACATTTTTATATATATAGATATACATAGAAGATTTCCAATGTCTGCTTTCGATTTTAATTTTTGACCACAACAAAAATTCCACATTGTACATTCGTGAATGAACTTTCAGTTTCTCGATTACTTTTACAATTCCTTTGAGTAATTGAAAAAACTAAAGTACTCTTGCAATTCCAGGTAATGGAATTGAAATAAAATCAATTACATTTTCAATTCCTTTCAAAGGAATTGGAAATAAACTACATTACTAGCACGTAATTTATTCCAATTACAATATGAAATTCCTTGTAATGGAATTAAAGAAAAAAAATAAAATTACATTTGAAATTACTTCAAGGAATTGAAAAAGTAATCGATTCCTTTGCTGTGGACTAAAGGAATTGATTCCTAATTACAATTCCTTGTAATCTGTAATTGGGAGTAATTTAATTCCTAAAGGAATCATTACGACCCAGCTCTTCATAAGCTATGCCTGCTCCAGGCGACAGTTACCAGTTGGCTTTTCTTATCTTGAAGCATTTCCCCCCCTTCGTTTAATACCTTCTGTAAGTCTCAAATTTCCTGGCAGTATTTTCGGCGCCCTTCTTGTGCGTAAAGAAGGAGAATTTTCGATCTTTGCTAGCCTCTATCGCTCTATTGCAGACTTCGCCAAAAGCACTGCAATGAAAGCCGAATTTTTTGATTGCAATTTTCTTCGATCTTGGTTCATTTGAAACACAACGCGCAAGTTTCGTTGTGGAGGCTAATTTTTCGACCGTTAAGCCAAAAGTCACATCTAGCCCTACATGAAATTGTAGTCTCCTAGCACGTTTTTTATGGCTTGACGGTTGGCATTTGGTCGTCTCGTTCTTCTGTTCCATCGGGGCATCCCACAGTGTGAAATATCGGAAAAAATTCTCATCAACCTCACCGCACAAAAAAAGCCTCACTACTCACTGATAAAAAAGCGTAAATCAGGGAACCACATGAATAGCTTCATTGTTTCACCAATCCCGGTCAGAGAATTTTTTTTTTTTCTTGAGGTGAGGTTGATAAGTTCTATCTCATCTGGATCATGAAACTAAAAGGTATTTAAAAAAAATTAAAAAAAAAATACACCCAAACGTTTATAATAGCGCCGGGGCTAGAATTTTTTCCGATATTTCCCACTGTGTACCTGTTTTAAAATCTCACTTTGATGCAGATTTCGGCGAGATGCTCGTATACTTCGGTTAACGACAATACTTGACAATTACGTCTCTGACCCACCACGAACCCAACACCGAAATTAAACTCCTCCGCGAGCTGGTATTCTTAACTTTCCCAGCCCCGACGACGTCGTCGTTATCATCTAGGGCAATGGTTTTCAAACTGTGGGTTGCGGTACGCTTTCCCGGGGTCTTGAGCTAAATTAAATAACCTTCCTTATTATTTATTTTTTTTGCTTGTTTAAAAATATCGCTTCTTGTCAAAATTTTTAGCTGAATGGATCGTGTTTTCAGAATTTTGAGACTATATTATGAGAAGAACAAACTTCTTTCTGCTTAAATCATTTGTTGCGATTAGATTTTTTTTCTCGAGATATACCAGTCGTATAAGTCATCATCGCTGTTGTAGTTTACTGCACATTAAAGCTGGTAAATCTCGAAAAGAAAAAATCGAGTCATAACAAACGAAAATGAATTTTAAAGAGATAGAGTAGTATCAAATAATAGCTTAAGTAGAAATGAGAAAAAAAAAACTTGTTTTCATAACATAATCTCAAATATCGCTAAAAGCCGAGTTTTTGGCACTTTAAGCAAATCTGCGGCCGGATTTAAATTCCGCATCAAAAAATCTACATGAAAGGATGTGTTTCAGTCAGGTGCAGCGTTGCCGCTTTGGTAATTTTTTACCAAAATTGGTAATTTTTTTCTTTATTTATCAAATTTGGTTATTTGGTAACATATTTTTCGATTTGGTAACTTTTTCGATTCAAGATTCAACAAACTTTCATAAAAATTTCGAGCTTTATCAAATAGATTTCCTAGAAAGATTATGAGTGTGGAGTTTTGTAGCCCACTGAATTCTTTTTTTGTGCCGAACGGTTTTCTTCCATATAAAAATAATATTTTTTATATGGAAGAAAATGGGACAAAAAAGTCTAAACATAAATGATAGTTTTTAGCCATTTGAAACTTGTATTTTATTTTACTAGAATCAAATGGGCTACAAACTTACATAGTCAAAATACTTCTTGGAAATCTACTTAGAATGCTCGACATTTTTACGAAAGTTTGTTGATTTTTTTTTTTTACTTTTGCACAAAGCTTGAAACTTGGATTTACACGGGTTTTGTTAAAGAACGAACTATATTTTTATATAAAAATAACCAAAAGTTAATAACAAAAAAAAAAATTATATGTTAAAACTTGTCAAAATGTGGTGTGGCTATAATTTTTTGCTTGTTGTAATTAGAGTGGTCCTTAAGGTCGAATGAACGATCTTTTTCAGTCTCGCCCCTTCAATCGGTAACACCACTTTCATAGATATCACGTATAAATTTTTGGCCCCATTGGAGACGGTTAAGGCGTGTCGCAAAGGGGTCAAAGACCAGATGCCTCTATAGACTCATTTAATGCCCAAAATCGATAATAGGCACGTTTGATTCAACCATCACAAGCAAATAGCTAAATTTTGGTCAAATAAAACGAAATTAGCTTATTTCCTATGTTAGCCTAATTTTGACAGTTGTTTAACTGCAAATAGTGTCAAAGTAAGTTTTTGCCTCTTTCTGATTGGCTGAAGGAAAAAATTTCTGATGCTGAATGGCAATGCCTCTTGTTCAATATACAAGCCAAGATAGCTTTTCATAAGCCAATATAATTATGTTGGGTATGTCCTCCATACAAAATAAGCTAATAGCTTAAATTTCTAGACAAATAAAACACGGCTAATACTAAAGTCGAGGATATCAGATATGAATTTTAGTCCCGATTGAAGTCCGTTAAGACGTCGTCGTATTGTAATCTGAACTCTGACTCCTATACGACACACCTTAACCGACTTCAATCGGGACCAAAATTTATATGTGATATCTTCGGCAATGATAGCATCGAATTTGGGTAGTAAATAGACGAAAAAAATTATAACTTTAATTTTTTTAATCTCCATAAAGGAATCTGAACTTTGCCCCCTGTGCGACACGTTTTAACCCTCTCCAATCGGGACCAAAATTTTTATGTGATATTTTTGACTATAGTAGCATCGACGTAGGGGTTGAGGCTTAGGAAATCTGATGTGAAAATTTGCTCCCTACTTTTAAGGACCACCCTAATATACATACACTTCGTCACCTTATTATAGAAATGCAAAAAAGCCTTAAATAATTAAATTTTTTTATTGCAGCAACCTTTGTGGGGACTTATAATTATATTAAATGCATCATAATCAACCAAAGAGTAAATTCTGGATTTTTAGTTAATTGCGGCTTTTTGTTTTTTCACCGACTATGAGAGATAGCACTTTTCTCTAGTAAGCATGTTAGGCCCAGTGATCGGACTTCTACCACATTGTGGTAGATCTGCGACTTTTTTGAGCATCTACCACATTTACCACACAAGGTCTGAAATCTACCTCATATTCGCATTTTTGAGTTCCTAGTTTTATTTTTGCTCGACATAATTTTCTTAATTTTAAGAGCCAAAATTGTCCAACACTAAACACTATATGGTAAAAAGAATAATATAATACAAGATTCCGCATTCCCGGCGGCGATGAAATTTCTCAAGTAAACAAAGCCGAATGGGAGGATAAAATAAACTGTAAAATAGCAAATTTTCTCAATAATAAATTTTTCGACAGGAATCGTCATTATGTTAAATTTTAAAATATATGATTTATAAAAAAGAATTAATAGCAAGAAGGTTAAAAAACGGCGATTTATATGAAAGTATTAGCAAGTTTCCGTGCATCGAAAGCTTCTGAGGCGTTGTTTACATTTACTTGAGAATTTTCATAATCGGCAAATCCCAAGTAGCGGTTTCTGTAACGTGCCACATTTGTTCGCTGCATCGTGATGAGATAAAAAGAAAAGCAGGCAGCACTCTGCAAGGTTGCAAAAAAATGTGTGTTCTAAAAATATCTTGATATGGAAAGACCTGCTTTACACTGTCATGGAAAAAAATCGCCAAAACTCAACGGAATTTTTAGCAACTTCAATCTTGCAGTTTGTTATAATAAAATTGATTTTTTTAGAGTCTAATTAAAAAGTTTGCAATTTAGGTGATACCTTGTAGAATTTTTTAAATTTTTGTACTAAGTGTGATCCAAAATCTGAGATCTACCACTTTTTTTTTACCGAAATAGGCCTCGAAAAGTCCTAAACTAGTCTCCAACTAGACCCGAAATTTTTTCCAAAAAGTGCTGAGCTAAATAGGCCCGAACTGGACCTAAACTAGTGCCAAAAATATCAACAAGCAATGTTGCTAGAACAGTGGATTACATTTTTTTTTTCGTTTTTGCTTCTTCTAAATACGTCTTTGTTTACGCATGACGGTTGACCGAAAGCAAAAATGTTTACACATCTAAAATGGTTTTCGAAATTTCCTTGCAAAAGTACTTTAGACTCGGGGGTGTACGGCGAACTTGTGTGCTTGCTTGTAAAGCTTAGTATCCAGCTCTCAAGAAAAGCAAAAAATCCATATAAAAAACAAAAATGAAGAACCTGCGAAAATAATTTTTTATGTCAAATTTCCTTTAAGCAGTACGCAGTTCTTCAGAAATTTGGTACGCTGCTTTCTACTACGGTTTTCTTAAGTTTTTTTTTTGTGAAAAAAGAGCGCAAGCCAACCCATTTTTTGAATTATTTGATAAAGAACTCACCTAAATCCAAAACTGCTAACTCAAACCCGAATTTCTCTACTGAGAGAGTTCCGGTTAATTAGATCTCCTGCATAATTAAACAAAAATTATGCAATTTCGCATGCTCAATTATGCGGATGTTAGCATAGTATTTAAACCAAAGCCGTGAATTTTTCACTTACCCATTGTTGTACTTCATCCACAGGTTATCAAAAACAATATTCCACTGGAAATGATTTAAAAGTGTGCACCAAGCTGCTGAAGCCAGACACCCAACTGATCCAACGATAAAGCGATAAACCGATGTTGTGGGCTGCAAGCGTTCGAATATATTATTTCTACATACAAAAGTAATGATTTTTAAATTATATTTTTTATTTATTTATAAATTGTGTTGCTTCCTACATTTTGCCGCCTAACCAATTGTCTATTGTCTCATTGTTTATGTATGTATGTATGTACGTCGCAGTCTACCGTATTTTTAAAACATTATACTAACTATACTGTATTTGTACTATTTATGTTTGTATGAGTAAAAATGTTCAATTTATATTTTCTAAAACTAAACTAGTCAATAAAGTATACATACATACAACGAAATGGAATATGTGTACATAAATGAGTTTTCTTTAAAAATCTGCCTTTTGTTTATTTAGTCTTGAGTTACTTAAACACACACACACACACACACACACACCCACACTCATAAAAGCGCATCAACAAGCATTAAATGCTGTCAAATTTCAGGGTCACAAAGTCACAGTCAACGTGCACACACCAGGACCAGCACTTGTTTATGGACGACATCAAGCAACAAATCACACTACGCCTATGCGCATATACATATGTATATACACTCACATCTACTCAGCCACATCACATCACATCACATCACATCACATCACATCACATCGCATCGCAGCGCCTCGCATCACATCACATCAATGTCACCACAACGGCATCACGTCAGTGCAATCGTTTTATTACGACGCGAGACTGCCGTCTTCTAAAGTTTTCGCAAATCCACGCGATAAACGACTGATATTGACCGCACATAAATCACACACACAAATCGCAATTATTTTTTCGTCGCTTTAGAAAATTCAATATTCATATAGCAAATTAAGATATTCACTTTTCATTCGAGCTGCCCCTGACTTTGATGTGAAACACGCTGACAACGTCGCAACGTTCATTGTTTTAGTTTGGCGATCTAGTTATTTATTTTTATAAGATTTTTCCATTCAAATAAATACATACCTTTCGAAATATGCAATTTTGAACGTATCGCACGCTTTGAATATTTTGTGAAAATTTTGCGATTTCAAATTTTTGGTATTCATTTACATACAAGTACATACAGTGCAATAAACTCGTCTTTCAGCACACCGTTCGATTCTTTCGAACGATGCACTTGCGCCGAGCACACGCGCCGAATGATTTGGTTTTTATAACCCGTAGGTACTCGTACATTTTCCCGTATCAAATTTTCAAAACAATTCACCTTCAAACACATGCTCTAAATATGTGTGTGAATAGGTAATGAATGATTCGAAAAGTGTTTTATGTTTGTAACATATTGGCACGCCTACAACAAAGTACAGGGGATTTGTGCGTGGGCAATGCCCCCTGTTGTGTGGCGGATTTGCGTGTGAATTTGTTTAACCCATTGAAGGAAATTAATTTTCCATATACTTTAAGAATAATATCAGATGCTCTTTTCAAGAAGCCGGCGGAATTACCTGTCCTTTTCGATTAAGGTACTTTTGGGTGGTAAAAAAGAAGTAAAGTCGATATTTTGTTCTATACCGAAAAAAAACCTGTTTTTTTTATCGACAAATAGTTAGAGGTCGCCCAAAGCGTTCAAAACTTTCCATGCATTTTAAATCAAAAAAAAAATAAAAAATTTCGTAGAAATAGTATAGAACTCTTGAAAATCAATATTTTTCGATCCGAAAACTCCGTTACTCTTCAAGAAACTTCCAGTAATACTACCCTGTTTTTCATTTAATATTTTTTTTGAAATTAACTATTTTTTATAGGTCCCTCAAAAACCCGCAAAAGTTTCAATGGAGAGAGTTGCAAAAAAATAAAACTTGCCTACCACGCTCCCACTATTGATCAACGCAGCTGTTATAAGACCTCTTAATTTCATTTCAGCCGTTTTAATAGGAGCAATAACTGCCTAAGCGGTTTTTGAAGAATTCAGTAAAAGAAAAGAATGTTCTCAGCTGTGCTGACTAGACATCAAAGCTTTTTTGGAACCTGATTCCAAACCGTCACCCGCATACAGCATACATAAACATAAGTACATATGTATGTATGCGAAAAAATATCACGACTCTGCAGAAAAAAATTACCAATTGATAAAAAATAGCCCACTTGTAGTTAGCTTTTTTGCGGGATTTCTATAAAATATATAACTTGTAGTTAGCTACAAAAAGCTAACTTGAAACTAGTTGACAAATAATGCAGGAGTAAAGCTCGAGATTGTTTTCTTTAAACACGTTTCTATTTAAATATCCTGCACTTCGCAAATACTTTTTCGAATTGAGGACAAATAAAAGGAAGATCAAAATTTCATATTATCATTTTGAAGTTATGTCTGACGAAGCTCGAATATGGGACCACCTACAGCAGAACATGGAAACAAATATGAAATGTAATAAAATAAATAAAGTAAATAAAAATAAAAAAATATAAAAAAAATATTTTATTTTTCCTATTAATATTTTATGTCAAAAAGTAGCTAGTTACAAGTTAGTTACATCAAATGCAGAGGTAACCACCCTTGACTATTTACATCTAATGCAGAGGTAAATCACCCTTGACTATTTCGCGGCCATCGCCATATAAATATAGTTAGCTTTTGTCAAAGAAAATATACAGATAATAAGTGACTTTTAGCTCCTTCCTAATCAACTTAAAGTTAGCTTATAGTTAGATATATTTCCTGCAGGGGAGTTGTTACACTTTTCGACAAAAACTTGTTTTTGGTCGAAAATGGTGGCACACTTATCCTAGACAATGATTATTTTTAGTTTTGCATAAAGAACAAGATTCCATCACGAAATTGTATTTGAATGAAAATTTACGTATACGTCCAGTCGCTTCATACACAGTCCGCTTACGCGTTTACTCGCACGCCCTAACTTAAAAGTCATATTACTTAAAATTAATAAAATATTGGCGCGGAATATTTTTCTACAGCATTCTTCACGAATATATACATTAGGGTTTCCATCGAAAATGCTTTTTTTTTTTGGAAATTTCAAGACCCTACCCCCTAATTTTATTCGTTTTTATGAGAAATATTATTGCCTATTTTTATAAATTTTTTAAAGGTCACCTGTCGATTTAGGTCAGAAAAAAGGATTTTGTAAATTTCCAGTTTTTGAATGACTATTTTTGATTCGATTTCAAAGATCGAATATGATATGAGCAGAGGATATATAGGCCTTTGAAATTGTATATGTATAATAATCTATTGTCGGACTAGGCTTGTTGGGATTTTTTATCGGGTAAATTAAAAAAAGACCCATATTTCTCTCATATTTTTTAAATTTTGACCACCGATAATTCCTAGAATTTCAAAATATGGAGTACTATCTAAAATTAAATCTATTTTCAAATAAAATGATATCTCATGTATTGCAATCGCATAAAAATTGTCGAATTTAGGCGACTTTTCTTAAATACGGCCTTCAATTAATATGTGTGTGTATGTACCGGAATTTCAGATTTTTTGAGCAGTGTGACTAAAGAGTTCATCAATATTTATTCAAAATTGATATATACATTCGCTCTTTAGCAAAAAAGTGGTTTTTCAAGAAATTTTAGAAAAATGGGGGTGGCACCGCCCACTTACATATATGATATACGCGTATCTCAGAAACTACTTGACCGATCTCGACCAAAAAATATTGCTAGCTTTGAGTTTTTTGAAATAACAGTTACGTCGGTGGAGCCCATGGTTTTTGTCCGATTTTGTCCTTACGTATAGTTACGTATGTTCCATAGGGAAAAGCGTTCTCACAGCGTACAAAGAGAAAGAAAAGCATTGTGATAGAGTATATTTTAGTACGACTAGTTTTATGTCTGTCACAAAAGTGCTGCGAAACGATTGGCAGCCCACTGTAGAATGATAGATACTCCAATCACCGACTGTCCGACGATTTAAATAAGGTCAGATTTGATTGAACCGCATCCGGAATCAGAATGGGTTAATGCGACTACTACCGAATGTATGTATAATTTGAGGAAATATCGCTTCTATGCTTGTTTAGTTACATATGTCCATTTTTGAGCTGTCCGATGATGGATTTGTATTATTCATAAAACGATTTTGTTTAGATTTAAATGTTTATAAATTTAAGACAAATACTAAATACATACCCACAAGAGAGAAAAAATAAATGTAAATTAAATTTCCATAGTACGTCAGATTGAATGTGCATTTACGCGCACGTCAGATTTCCTTTTTGTGCGAATGATTCACTCTTGCGTGTCCATGACTACTACTAAATAATCATTTGCGTAATCAAAAATTTTCAAATTTTCTGGATAAAATTCTATTTGCGCGAATTGGTGAGCCAGGCAATTTGTATGTATTTATGTATGTATGTATGTATGTATGTCTCCATATTTGTATATTTTTTACCCAACAGAGATCTAAACAATAATGACCTCTTAATGAGGTTATATCGACAACAGCTATTAATTTCCTGGCACTTCCCTTGATTTGCTTCGCACAGTAAGGAGAATTGCTAATTAATTTCATACATACTATTTTGCGCTAATAAAATTGCTTAAAGGCAATATATGGATGTACATATGTATGTTTGTATGGCATGCCAATATGTTCATATCGGTACATATGTGTTTTTTTTTTTAGCAATATGGAAAGGAGAACCCTTAGAAATCGCAAAATAATGTAGAAATTAATAATGTGTGAATGTAATTTAGTTATGAGAGTAATAGAAAATCAAGCCACAAAGAAGCCACTTGAATATTTTTTTGGAATACACGAGGGTCGATTGGAAAATGCGGGTACTTGGTATGAATTCCTTTTAAGTGTAATAAAAATCGTATAGCAAGAACTTTACTAAACCTCAGCAAGAGATTTAATTGTACACTTGAAATGGCCAACATGATTGAGATGGCAGCTCGAAGAGTTAGAATAACTCGGCCGGTTCCTGCTCATCTAACAGGGCAATTTTGGCTAAGATAGTAAAAAGTCTTTCGTAAGACAATTGAAGGACGGATGGCAAGATCGTTCGAAAGACTTTTGCTATTCTAGCAGAAAACGTCTTCGAAAAAAATCTTTCTCATTCACCACTCGTGTTGAAAAGCTCCCTGCAGGGAAAGCTACTAGTTGTGAACTAGAATTCTACCGGTTTGCGTTTCAGCCCAACTAATTCAAGTTCTATCCTTTTTCAATGTTAGCGACTGGTATTTTTAACATTGCAATGTCCTACGAGATGTCAATTGTCAGGCTATGTATCAGCATCTACTAGTAGAAATACTAGTAGCATCATACCAGTTTATGAGATAGTCTGCCAATTCATCCCCCATGAAAAGCATAAGTATGCCTTTTTGCTCGCGGCGCTCCAACAGTCGCAATGGCCGACAGAGCAAAGCACTCGCGTAGTATGCCTGAGGTACCAGGTTCAAGCCCTGGCGCAGGGAAAATTTTTTAACTTATTTTTTTTTATAATATTGCTCCTATATATATTTTTTTGATTTAGGTTTTTTTTTGTTATTCCTAAATTTAATTTAAAAAAAAAAAATTTTTTTATCTATTTTTTTATGGCACAAGTATTTCTTCCCATATAATTGTTTCCTTTTTTTTTATAATGCAACTTGATTCTTAAGTTTGTTATTTATATTTAA